GACACGGCAAAGGCACGGTCCCCTCTAAGCTTACGCTTAGTCTTAGGCACAGTCAGGAGCAGCTGATCATCTGACCTGAGAGCGCGGACGGGTATATACGAGTGAAGAAGCTCAGAGAGGTATGGCGGGGCAAGGCCATTTAATGATTTAAAAGCAAATAACAGAATTTTAAAATGGATCCTAAATTGAATAGGCAGGCAGTGTAGTGAAGCTAAAATCGGGGAAATGTGCTCCCGTTTACGTGTGCCCCTTAAAAGACGTGCTGCTGCGTTCTGTATCATCTGGAAACGGGTGATGGAGGACCCATTAACCCCCACATATAGTGAATTACAGTAGTCCAGCCGTGTAGTTACAAAGGCGTGGATTGCAGTTTCAAAATTTTGTCTTGACAAAAATGGCTTTATTTTGGCCAGTTTCCTCAAATGAAAGAAGCTTGATTTGACAACAGCTTTAACTTGACAGTCAAACTTAAGCTCATGGTCCACTTTAACACCAAGGTTTGAAATGCAAGGTTTAATGTAGGGAGCCAAAGAGCCCAGATCTATCGGTGGGGTCCCAGTGGTGCCTCCAAAAACGACGTCTCTCATGACATTGAAACAACGTTGATTTTGCTCATCGAATTAACGTTGAACCAACGTCAGACGCGGCATTCTTCAAAGCTAAATGAAAATCGAAAATTGGTTTGCTTTCATAACGTTGAAACAATGCGTTGATTTCAAGTTGATTTTCCGTTAGTTTTGAAAGAATGACGCGTCTGACGTTGGTTCAACGTTAATTCGATGAGCAAAACAATGTCAGATCAACGTTGTTTCGATGTCATGTTTCCACGTTGATTCAATGTCAGTTTGCTATCTGGGATGCCACTGATGCCCACCAACTGCCGTAAACGTGAAATCAATTTCATGATTTCACCTCTAGTGTACTATGTTCGTTTAAAAATGCCAATAATTGACTATGCACAATCTTCTCCAGGATTTTCGAAAGGAAGGGCAATTTGGAAATAGGCCTGAAATTAGTAAAAACCGACGGATCTAGCGCAGGCTTTTTAATAAGAGGTTGAACTACTGCATGTTTAAAGATTTGAGGGACCACACCCGAGGTCAGACTACTATTTATAACTGCAACCACAGATGGTCCTACGTAGGGAAAACCTCCTTAAATAGTCGAGGGGGGACAGCATCATTAGGAGAACCCATGGGCTTCAAGTGACCAACAACCTCCTCTAAGAAAGAGAAAGTCACCGGCTCAAAATGATCAAAAACAGCCGAGCAGGGGACAGAGATTGAAGGGTCAGAAGCTGCAGGTGCAAATTGGGACCTAATAGAAGTGACCTTATCAGTAAAAAAGCATAGAAAATTTTCACACATAGCAGTGGATGCCTCCATACAAGCATTCTGTGGGACATTTAAAATTGAATTAATCAGTGGAGATTTCTTTAAGACTGCAAGGGAAGCTCAGCTTCCCCTATAATGTCAAAAAAATAATGGTCAAATGTGTACTATTGTGTTAACATTTTATTGAGTAAAAATGCGTTAGAACATGGTAATCTTGAAGATGAGTTCGTTCAGAATACAAATAGCAGGTCGGCTGACTTGATCTCCTTCTCATGCATACCTGTAGCGCGTCACAGTGCATGCATTTTCCTATGGCATTTCCCTGTTGAAGCTCGGCGTCCATTGACTTCAATGGGGCTGCTTTGAACAGTTTTTTTCTGTGCTGTTAAAACTAGACGGTCATTGGATAAATGCTGCGATTATGTCCCGCCCACGGACGCCGGGCGTCTCTGGGGTGAATAGGGAAGTGGGCTGGCCTGGCGTCCGGGCGTCCGCGTGATGATTGGAGGATTGCATCTCCTTTTGATTGACAGCGATTTCACCCAATAAAAAAAAATCGCTGACGCGGAAGCTAGTTTAAAGACTTCGAGCGTAGTCTCGTCGCGGATTTTGTGTGTATTTTACTCGAAAACTGCTGTAACATATTTCTTAGTATTTGCAATTTTCATCAGATATTTCACAGTTCAACCTAATTCCCACATTTCTTCCGTCGATGCCAGGTGTCTTGTTACATTTGCGGGCGTGGTGTTTGAATCACGGCATCTAGTTTGGTTTCACTTTTGTGTTGGGATTCGGACATGCATTTTCCGCGTGTTTGTTTTCAGTTGTGAGTGCACAGGATGACCTTATGGTCGTACTCATGCGTAACGTTAGCGTTCTGTATTGTCGTGTTCGCTCTGTTCAGTGTTGTGTAATGTGTAGTACATGTTTTGTGTTTACATCGGCCACGTGCTTTCATGTCATGTTTTGTCTTTTGCTGTATAGCACACAGCTTGTGTTTTACACTACCTGTGTGCTTTCATGTTGTCATGTTCTGTGTGAACACGTCTTATGAGTGTTCTCATCGTTCTTCAGGTCTCATTTTTTGTGAGCACAATTGCTTTTTAATTTGTTTTATTGGTCATGTGTTTTTGTCATGTTTGGTATGAGCACATGGCTTGTGCTTGTCATGTGTTTGTTGTGCCATATGTGCTTTCCTGTCATTGTGTCGACTCCCATCTTGTTTCCTGATTATTAGTTATTTTGCCCCACCTGTACTCCCTCGTTACCTGACTTTTTTGGCTCCCAATTTATTCCCCTTGTTTGTTTTTTATCAATAAAATAAAGCCCATCAACTCTGCATCGAGTCCTCGCTCTTTTCACCATCACCACACCTGACAGTCGAGTTTAAAAAAAAAAGAAGAAAAAAGAGCTTCCCCTCTTTGAAAGACCAGCAGCCGCCACTGGAATTAATGGTGTTAAACAAGACATGAGGCTTATGACAATTTGCCAAAATAATATCCGAGAAATGTTTCCTTTTAGCCTCTTTCACAGTTTCCTGGAAATGATGCCAGCAATCCCTTAAAATTTGGAGAGACACCTGTGCTCAGCTCTACGGCACTCACGTCTGGCTGCACGAGTCATGTCATTTAGCCAGGGCTCAGATTTAGTTTTAGGCAGCCTGGATTTTAATGGAGCCACACTGTCCAAAACAGTTTGGCAGGTGGAGTGAAACCATGCGCTAAGCTCTTCTGTGTGCAATACAGAGTCAGGAGTGATGGTGTTCTGACTAAAAGCAGCCGAGAACTGAGCAGCAGTGGAAGGGTTAATATGCGACAGCGCCGTGCAGCAGCGCGAGGTTTAAGTGTATGACAAGAAAGAGCAGTCTCAAATAACACACACTGTTAGCCCTTGCTGTATTTTCTAGGGTAAATTACTGTAAAATAGCCAGTAGTTTGCTGTATCATCTGGGAAGAGTATTTTACTGTAATATGAGGAGCCTCTTTAAGAACTTATGCAGCTCAAATAATAAATTACAGTAAATTACTCTATGCACCCATTACAGGTACCAACTGTAACATTAATCAGTAAATTACTGTCCTCCGAAACACTTAAGTGCATTACGTCACATTATTTTGTGAAGTGTATACATATTCAGGCAGAAATCAAGGATTTATGCATTAACACACACATGCACGAACGGACCTTATCCCAAACGCAAAGGTGTTGTTGCCCCTTTAAGGCAGCCGGTGCAGTCATAATTTGCTTTTCAGGTGCATCGTTAATCATTTCAGTTTTCACGTTTTAAGCCTTAAAATGCGACCTTCCACAATGAGTAAGTCAAATTTTCAAATATATATATAGCGGTATGTGGTTTCTATAATACTTTTTGTGAAGTAAGTAAATCGTTATTATTTGTTCTTGGACTCCTTGGTTCCAGAAAGCTAACGTTATATGGTTAGCTGAGTTGTTAGCCTCTCCTCACAACTTTCAGTTACATCCCTTGGTGTTGCACAATATTTAATTGATCAATTATAGACCAACCCAACTTGTTTATTTATTTAGTAATGCTTTATTTATTCATTTAATTAGTCAACTTTTGCCACAATGTACAGATGCAAACTGTGCAATGTGCCTTTCCACCAACTAAGCCTTTTTTATGCACATATAAAAAGACACCAACATAGAGCAAACTTTCAATATGCCTGTGGAATGCATAAGTGCCCTTGTAGATTTAAGAAATTCTCCTCGTTTAGGTCTCATATGCATAGAAATCACAGGCCGTCACAAAAACAAGATAATGTTTCACATAACGTTAGGCATCCACAGGTGAAACTCCAATGTGAGGTCCTAGGGTGTGCATTTGTGGCCAGTAATTTTTCAGAGCTTTGCTTCCACTTGCGACTTCATATTAGAGATGGTAGAAAAGTTTGCTGTCCAGTTGAAGACTGCTTGAAATATTTTAGAGTGAGAACATCATTCACCACTCATATATCCCGAAAGCATAAGCAGCCAGCTCCAGTGCAGCAAGCTTGTCTCCAAAAACTGGGTGAGACAGCAACACCAAAAGAGCCTCTTGATGGTCAACTACCTCCTATAGATCTGTGTGAGGTACCATCCACATCATCTTTTCAAAGTCAGATAAATAGTGACGAAGACACTTTCTTACATAATTTGGCACTGTTTTACCTAAAGATGCAAGGCAAAATGTTGTTACCTGCCAGTACTATTCAATCAATTATCGAGGAATTTCAAGCAGTTCATGTTGAAGGAATGCAGGCCATACTAATTAGACTAAAAGAAAAGCTGTTATCATCATCAGATATACCATCATGTGACATAGACAAACTTATTGATGAACTGGTTAAACAAGATCTTTTAACTTTGTACAATGAAGGTCAGTTAAAGTCTGACAAAACCAGAAAACACTTCTTCAAACAAAAGTTCAACTTTGTTGAGCCAAAACAGATATACCTGGGCACTGACACAGCTGGTAAAGAACGCTTTTGTCAATATGTGCCAGTTAAAGAAACACTTGCATCTCTGTTTAGGCAAACATCAGTGAGGGAACAGTACAACCAGTCAAAAATGCTTGATTCTGTTGACAAAGTGATGGAGGACATAAAGGATGGCACATGCATCAAGCAAAATGCCATCTTTCATGAGCATCCATCATCATTATCAATTATGTTGTACCAGGATGCATTTGAAGTTGTAAACCCACTTGGCTCGGGCAAGAAGAAACATAAAATCCTGGCAGTGTACATGACCCTAGGTGAGATTCTGCCACAGTACCGCTCATTAGTTGACCCAATGCAGCTTGTTTTACTGTGTAGAGATGAGGACTTTAAACAGTTTGGTCAGCAGAAGGTGTTTTCCAGCCTTGTTGCTGATCTAAAATATTTAGAGGATTCTGGATTTCAGTCTGTAGATGGCACTATTCTCAAAGCAGGGCTAATTGTCATTTGTGGGGATAATCTTGGGTCTCATTGTATAGGTGGCTTTTCTGAAAATTTCAGTACCAACAAGTATTTCTGTCGGTACTGTCTAATTGACAGAGACACTTTTCGGCAACAACCTTTAAATCTTGGCCTAAAAAGAACAAACAGAAATTATGCGCATAGTGTTGATCAGCTCACAACTACTGACCAATTTATGGTAGATGGCATCAAATTTAATTCCATTTTCAATTCCCTTAATTTTTTTCATGTGTGTGGTGGACTACCTCCATGCTTAGGACATGATTTATTTGAAGGTATTGTGGCTAATGACTTGGCAGTTTACATAAGACATTTGGTCACTGTTGAAAAGCACTTCACCTACAATGAGTTGAATAGAGCCATTGCACAATTCAGGCATTTAGGAAGTGACTCTCACAATGCACCATGTGCTGTTAAAGCAGATGGCCGACGACTTGGTGGTTCTGCTACACAGAATTGGTGTCTCTTGAGGCTCTTACCAATTTATGTAGGAAGAAAAATTAAAAACCCAATCGACAGTGATGTTTGGCAATTGTGCCTTAAACTGAAAGAAATGGTTGAGCTGATTTGTGCTCCAAAAATTAGTCATAATGAGATTGGCTACCTCAAGTTTTTAACACAAGAATATGTCTCTGCAAGAAGCTCCTTGTTTCCTTATGAGAGTCTGAAGGCAAAGCATCATTACTTGTTGCACTATGCAGACCTTATCCTACATTTTGGACCATTGATTCGCCTGTGGACCCTCAGGTTTGAAAGTAAACATTCGTATTTTAAGAACTGTGCAAGAAAACTGCACAACTTTTTGCATCTTTGTAAAACCTTGGCAGAAAGGCACCAGATGCTGCAGTCCTATCTAGCTTCTGGCCAGTTATTTCCTCCTAAAATTCAATCTGTCAGTGAAACACATATACACAATACCCAGTTATATAATACAAAAATACAAACTGCAATAAGGGCAGCTAACTGTGCCACTCAAAGTACTTCAGAGGTATCAGGAGTGGTTTACAATGGAACCAAATACATCAATGGCCTTTTTGTTGTTGTAGACCACAACAGCTGTGGGTATTTGTTTGGAAAAATTTCACTGATACTCATTAGTCCAACCGATGTCCACTTTGTTGTTGAATTGTATGAATCGGTGCTATTGTCTGACCTTGGAGTTTACTCTCTGCAAAAATCTGATCCGAAGTATGTGTGTGTTAATGCAGACAGTCTTTTGGATTACTATCCCCTTCCAGTGTATGAAGTGGCAGGCCTTTCTGTAGTGTCATTACATCACTCAGTGTGTTCTTTTTAACTTCAGTCACAGAGCAGATACAACAAGAAATCTCAAGAGTTCTCCCAGAATTAGATGTCAACAAACTTCAAGATGTGGTCAATCACCTTTGTTTTGTGGTGGGTGTTCAGAAGACACAGGATCTTGGGCTAGTAGAGGTAACGGATCTCCAGGACTTCTTATTCCCTATACAGTGTCGAAAACTACTAATGGACTTCCAACAAACAGGTAAGACATATTGATACTTTAATGGTCACTATTAAACATTAGTGTACCTTATATGTATGATGGATGTGACGGTGTCATAATTATTCCTTAAGTAAGTAAGTGGTGCTTTGCATACCGGGTTTGGGGGGTCAGTGCAGATGAGGAGGAGGGAGGGTCTGTCTAGCCTCCGTTTTGTTTAAAAATACTTTAAATGTCAACAAGAAGTCACGTCACCCGACATCGCTTAGAACACCTTTAATATCTTGTTGGTAGTAAAAAATATTGTGGAGGTAGTATAAGATAGTAAATTTATCTCTATGATTCCTGCATATACCCTGGTATAGTCTATTAAGTGTATACAACTTTTCACTTTGTTTCTCTGTATTTTTCAAAGCATCTAGAGGCCAAGTGGATGAAACGCCAATTGAGATCACATTCACCACATTACCACCACACGACTCACTATATGACCAGCCATCCACTTCCTACACTCCTTCAAATTCTGATTGGCTCAGTATGTTCCAGATTCCTTGGGAACGCATGCCTACAGCCCTTCTACATGCAGCATCCAATAAGGAGAAGGCTCCACTTGGACCGCGGAGAGAGTTTGTGAGAAATGTTGTGGCAGCTATGAGAGAACTTTGCCCAAACCCAAACTTAGCTGACTGTGGGGAAGTAGCAAAAGAAATTTTTTCTAAACATTCGTTGACATTTGGAGACTTTTCAGAGGAAGGGGAACAACTGGGAAAAGGCTATAGTTCACTGCAAAGACAGCTGAAAACCAGAGTTGAACATGTTAATAGAGACAATGTAGCACACAGGATACGTCAACCCAAAAAACACTCAGCAGAACAAGAACCGAACAACTGCACAGTCAAAAAAGTTAGATGCAAAGTTGACAGTTATGGATGCATTAATTGGCAACCTGCCTCCATGCCTGATGGAGAGACCGCAGAATCTCTTGAAATAAAGAGAAATCTTCTATTAGAAAAGTTTCAGTATGGAGGCCCACATTCTACTGAAATGTCTGATGTGGACAACCTAATGCAAGAGACTTACATTCATCAGCGACAAATGATTAATGCATGCCCCCCTCCAGCCATTGGTGATATTGAAGTTGAGTGGCCATATTTATTCACTAAAAGAGGCCTATGCAATCATTTTGAAACCCTTACAGGGATTGACATAAGCAGTCGCCTCAGTGAATGCCTGATTGGCAAAAGCAATAGGATTGTGAACTACTTTCAAAAACAAACATTAAAATGGAATGCAGAGGTCCAGGCTCTCCTAAAAGAAATTGAAGCAACACCAGCAACTGCTAACAAGACTGCCATATCAGCCATCTTACTGACAATGAAGTATTTTAAAGAAAAAGAAAACTCTCTCTTCATTTTAGTGGATGTAAGTAATTATGACATTAAATCACCAATAAAGTAAGCCATTTAAATAATAAATGCACTAATTTTTATTTAAATAATTAAATAAAACTATTAAAATAACCTTTTTAAAGGGAACATTGCAGAACAAGTTTTTGTTAAGAAAGCATTTTATTTGTTGTTTTCAAGGAAACTTCCACTAAGATGTCAATAGAGACTGAGCAAACCCTACCAGCCACGCCAAGGCTCATCATGCTTGGTAAGCATCAAATATATAGTAAACAACCTATGTTGTTTTTGTTTTTTTGGGAGGGGAGGGGAGGGGGGGGGGTGTGTGCTTTTTTTCAGTTTTTATGGTGACTTCATATTTCAGGGGATCATCTTCTAACTTCATCTAAGTGGATGATCAGCATTGAGGGGAAAGTGACACATTGCATTGAAGAGAAGCTGGATTTTGCTGCAGCACTCTCTGCGCTTTTTGGTTGCTTTTATGTTTTTAATATTGAGTACCAGGAGTCAGCCAGTGCCACACTTGAGCTAATTCAAAGGTAAGTGTTAAAAATCATTTTGTCCAATCATGACTTTATTTAAGGAATGGCTAGTCCAAATACACACAGGAAACTACTACTGTTTAGAAACCTTTTTGCCAATATGTTTTGTTGTTGTTCTCATAATACAGTTTTTTTTTTTACTAACTGATACAATTCTAAAAATGATGTGTTATTTGATGATTAGGTTCTTTGTGAGGATAAATCCTGAGGGGACAAAGTGTGCTGCAAAATCTGGAACTAGCCGCAAAACTGGGTCTACAGTTAAAAGAAAGGTTCAAAATGTGAATCCACATGTCCATACATTTTTGCAGAGCCTTACAGAATTTGAATGGAAAACATCTAATTAAGTAAGCAAAAGCAGTATTTATTAAGACTTTAATTATAAAGACATAAACTGGTAATTAATTTTTTTTTTTTATTCTTACAGGTTTGGAACAACATGTGGGTCATTATTGACTGATTATTATATTTTGGATGGTGTATATTTCTTAATGTTTATTTTGTATTGTTGTTTTTTCTTCTTTTTTCATTTTAGTATATGTTCTGATTTATTTATGTAACCCAGAGTGATTACAAATAAAAAAAATAATAATAATCATAATAAAAAATAGTACCAGAGTGGTTACTAAAAGAGAAAAGTAGATTAATAAGTTCAGAATGGCTAAGTTAAAACTTTTTCCAATAAATGATCATAACGTGTTTTATTTTTGTTAATTTTCTCATGTTGTGAATATGAAAAAAGTATACAGTATTTTGAATGTTATGTTGCCTTTAAGAGAATGTAAAGTGTGGTTTACTGCTGACCTATCAGGGGAGAGAGATGGGGAAATGACGTCAGTAGCGCGTGGAAAGTGAAATGAGATGTATCGTTAGCGTTAAGCACAAAGACGTCGACAGAGATAATTCTGAGAGAAAATAACAGTGATTGCGATTTAAAAAGTAGACAAAACGTCTAGATATACATTTATTTCATTTTAACGGAACTATATTTTGCTGTTACGAGTGATTTTGAGTGCGTTTTCGAAAGAAGAAGATAGCGAGCCTCCCAACGAATCTTGATTAAAACTAAACCATCAACGGATTTCAGCGGATTTACTGCGTAGTTTTCCCCGGACTGAGGAAAAGACTGCAAGATGACAGAATGAACTGACACCGAACTATTTTCTCTTCACTCTACAGTCGTGTATTTTCCCCTTTCACCACGACAGCAGGCCTTCACTGTTGCATCTAACCGTTCACTGGGGTATGGACGATCGTTTTTCTTTTTTTCTTTTGAATGAAGAAACAAGAGATTAAAAGGAATAAATAATAAATAATTCTAACTAAATTAAAAAAAAAACATTTTTATTTAATTGTTTTATTTTTCCTGCATTTATTGACAAATCTTTAGTTTCATTGTTATTCCATCGACCATTTTCCTTTTCTGCCATTTCTGTTCTTTCCTGAAAGAGAAAGAATTCGTTAATTTCATTGTCATTCATAGTTTTTCCCCTTTAATATACATTTTGCAACATTATTCTGATTTACCTTTGTTGTCTGTCTGTTCACTTAATCTCTCACAGCTGCTCCCTCTAATCTAGAGTAATGGCCCACGTATCTTCTTCTATGACTTACAGTAAGTTACCTGGGTGCCCATGAGGCCGTGATGACCTGGTGACCTGAAGCAGGCGCTACATTTAATTTTGTGATATATTTTGTGTTATGTATTTGTTTTTCCAAAGGAATAAAATATTTTTTTATTAACATATTATATGCCTTTTCTTTTTTTGAGTAAATAAGTATATTTCATATAAAGTAGTCATTCGGGTGTTACACAAATATGGAAGTAACAGCAAATTTAAATGCACTATTATACTGAGTGGTTTCGTGTCATTACAGTAAATAACTGCCAACACCCTATCCCAGTTATTCACCGTAATGGTTCAGTTACAGTAATTAACTGGCAACACTGTTGCCAGTTATTCACCGTAATGGTTCAGTTACAGTAATTAACTGGCAACACTGTTGCCAGTTATTCACCGTAATGGTTCAGTTACAGTAATTAACTGGCAACACTGTTGCCAGTTATTCACCGTAATGGTTCAGTTACAGTAATTAACTGGCAACACTGTTGCCAGTTATTCACCGTAATGGTTCAGTTACAGTAATTAACTGGCAACACTGTTGCCAGTTATTCACCGTAATGGTTCTGTCACAGTAATTAACTGGCAACACTGTTGCCAGTTAATCACCGTAATGGTTCTGTCACAGTAATTAACTGGCAACACTGTTGCCAGTTAATCACTGTTAAATATTCTTTACAGCAACTAGCTGGCAACAGTGTTGCCAGTATTTTACTGTAAAAAAACCCGGTAAGGGCTAACAGTGCAGGCATATGGTCAGAAAACACCGCGTCACATATCTCTAGATTAAGAACAGGCAAATATGATAAAACAAGATCAAGTGTGTGTCCATGTTCTTGTGTGGGTCAAGATTAAAAGTCTCGATGAGGTTTAGAAAACTCTTTGTCATTTGCTTGTCAGGACAACACACATGAACATTAAAATCCCCAACAACAAGAACACGATCATATTTAGGCATGATTTCAGCCAGAAAATCAGCAAACTCATTCAAAAAGTCCTTGTTGTACTTGGGGGGCCGATAGACCACAACACACAGCACTGTGTGAGAGCGACCAATCTCAAATAAACTCATCTCAAAGCTGCTTAAAGCAGATGACAGCATTATCTGTTTACATTTATAATGGCTCTTATATACAGTCGCTCGCTATTCCTCATCCTCGGCCAGATTTTCGCGGGGAGTTAAGGTAGCAGCAATCATGGTGTAAAAATTCTGTGAAAGCACTGGACTCACCATCACTCAGTCAGTTACACAGAGAAAATCCAATCCTCGGGACGTGAAAAGTTCTTTTAAGACAAAAGTCTTTTTTGCTAGAGATCTAGCATTTACGAGCCCAAACCTGGCAGGAACCGGCGGATCCGCGACGCTAGACGTTCGTGGAACCCGACCCAGAGACCGCAAGTTGCTGTGATCGACTCCGCATCAGACGAGGAGAGCAGGGGCCGCGGGGCTGGAACACCTCTTCGGGGCCGACGACAGGTATCAGCCAGGCGCCGACAGGGTCCAGCGAGCGTCGAGAAATAACGAGGCTTGGCACGTCTCCAAGCTCACTCCACAAAGGCGTCGAACACCATGCAAGGCGGGTCTTCAACCTCACCAGCCGGCCACTACGTTTTCCCCGGCGGCGGGTGCGTTTTCGTCGGTGCTCTCGCCGAGAAGGTGGAGTCGGGGCGTGCCAAAGGTGAGCCGGGAACCTCGCTAGGAGCGGGGGCAAACTTTCACGTCCACCATCATCCAATTTTACTAAATTTTCAACCGAAAATTGCAGATCCAGCAGCGATCATACACCAGCAAAGAGTCGACATCCCGGGCAAAAAGCAAAACAAACCAAGGCAGGAGGATGTGGGATGTTGACTATTTACCAGCACAAGAGAATGTGGTAATGTGTTCTTATTACAGTAATTGTCATAAGTATTTTTGTATTATAACTTGTACTAATATTCTTCCTTTCCAGGAACAAATACCACCAGCTGACATGGAAGTCAGTCCACCTTCGGATGTCGGATGTCATGGAGATCACCCCAACACCAGATATCTATGTATGTTGAGGGAATGTTTATCTATTGCGAAATTTGTTTATTTATACATTTGGCTTTCCTGTTTCATAAAAGTGTTTATGAGCAGCACTTCATTAATAACATTATTATTGGAATTATTATATGGCACACAGGCCTCTGCAGTGATGAAAAATATTCAGCTGGCCTGTGAGTGGGTGGAAGAGAGCCAACAGTAATTTACTGGAAAGATTGATCTGCCAAAGATCTTAAGGATGAAGATGGATGATGCCTTGTTGGCCATCACAATTCGGGACTTGTTTTTAAACTCCACACGTTATGACTATAGTATCCAGCTGCAGACCCGCAGCACACCAGTTTCAGAACCCCAGTTTCAGAACCCCAGCGCCAGAACCGGAAGATAAGACCTGTTTTTTGGTTTTTATGAAGGAGTTAACTTTGTATAATAAAGCTTTGAAAGATATAAAACAAGACAATCATTGGAGGTTTTCGAAATTATACACAATCTTATAACTCATTATTAGACCTCTGTGATATTTTATGTTCTATTTATTTATTTATTTATTGTGTTTACAAAAATCTTAAATTGATTTGATATTGAATATGTATTTAAGATGATTTTGATTGTTTAATAAAAAAAAAAGCATGGGTATTTTTTATAAAATATACTTTATTTCACAAGAACATGTGCAGCATGCATTTTTCGTGTAAAATAATGTCAAAATCTAAATAAAAAAAAGAGAGAGAAAATTCGGCATTATTTTGTTAAAAATCTATACAAAATGACCAATTCAACCCAAGCCAGGCCTGTTTTATCACAACAATTTTGTTTAAATTTAACTTACAATGTATCAAATGAGGAACTCAAGGCCCGTTTTGTCCTTACATGCTTGCTAAAATAATAACACTTGTGTGTAACACACATAATTCAGTACTACTTTATTTGTATTGTTTGATATTGTTTGTGCATCTGTATAGACAGATATCCATACATCCATCTCTCTTCTAATCATCCTTCTATTATGGATCAATATCATGGATAGAGACATAGAAAAGGGTTGCATAGTCTTGCAATAAATAATAATAAATAAAATTATAAATATTGTAATTGCAATTAAATTAGCTTTGTGTGTGGCAGCTGCATGTACAATTATTATTATTATTATTATTAATAACAGTAATAATAATACAAATGAGCTTAAAATAAAAAATTAAAGGGTTTATTGCATTAAAAACAGGCCATATTTTTTAATAAATAAACAAGTTATCATTCATAGTACACTAAATTTTAAACATTTTAAATTCCAACATGTCACGGTGTGGAGCCGGCAGAAGGAACAGGAGGAGTCCAGATTCACACGAGGATAATATTTTAATTTAAGGTACAGGCAGGAAGACAGGGAGACACCGGGTAACATGCAACATTGACCGACCAAGACTAACTGAACTGAACTGGACTAAATACAGGCAAGAATTAACATAACGAGGTGCAAACAGGTGAGACAGATGAAACAGGACGCTGAACGGGAGGCTGATGAGGGAGTGAGTTCAGGTGTGCAGACGAGAGGATCATGGGAAGTGTAGTGAAGGAGACGCAGACAGGATGGTGCAGACGCAGACTGTGACACAACATTGTTTGTGAAAGTCTAACAAAGTTAAATGTATACTCAAACCTGAAAAGTTGTGTGGCTCCGTTTTCATTTGATTATCAT